AAGGCCCTAACGACACAGAAACAAATACTTCAAGTTATCTAGATGGTTAATTCATACTACCATGCTAATGCTACTACCATATATGTCATAAAAGCACATTTGATATAAATACCACAAGACCAAAAAGGAATTTACCCCACTGACAAGAAGAGAATATTTCATATGGAAAATTACAATAGGCACAGAGCTTCCTCCAGTCTAGCAAGAGCTCCTAGCTGGAGAGCTCACAGGCAAGAGTGAGGCACAAAACGCAGAAATCCAGAGCACCATCAAATTTCTGCAAATGCAGATAACACTTCCCTTATTAGACTAAATGCAACAGGCAGTTCAGGCAAAATCAATAGGGTTGTCCTTAATCAAACAGCAGCTAAGTGGCTACAAGGCTTCCCTCTGTGTGGTTTTAAAAGGAGATGATTCTGCAATATCCTGAGGATAAAAGGCAGCTGAACATGAGGGTGCTTTTAAGTAATGTGATTATGTGACCAAATCATCAGTGCAGATGCCACAGAGAAACAATAAAAGGATGTAGCAAAACACTCCAGCATCAGGGAAACACTTCCTTCATCCCAAATGGTACCGACTGGGGACTTTTCGCTAAAAGGATCTTAGCAGAAGCCCTTCAGGAGAACATACCAGAAACTAGCCCTACTTTTGTCAACACACCTGAGTCCTGCTCCAGCAGCTGCTGAAACCCGTCAACTAGCAGGATACACGGTTTTGTGAACAAATAGACAAGTCCCCCCACACAAAACAGGCCATCAGCACCATTAGCTAGAGCTAATGGGGCAGTGAGAACCAACCTGCCCGTGTTATTCAGCGCACTGGATTTCATCGCTGCTATCTAGCCAGGGCTGCTGATGAGGCTTTAGCTACAATGACAAAATTCAGGTCATCAGGTCTTTGCTGACTGCAGGAATGATGAAAACTAGATCAGACTGGGCACAGGCACAAAGCCAAAGACTTTGTAGTACACAAACACCCTTTTTATTTCAAGGAATAAGGGACTTGGCACAAAATGATACCATTGATTTTTCTTGGTCTAAATCTTACCTATGCACCATGGATCTGCCCCGTCCCTCAGGTTAAACTTCACCTCTGCTACGTGCACACTGCCAGTCTGCTCTTTTACCTGAGCTCCGTATGAGCTGGAGCACTCAACTAACATCCCTTCTGCCATGGAGAGATCCTATTCCCCCTGCAGCAGGAAGGAGTTTGAGACCCAGATTGCTTAGCCCCACCATACTCTGCACTAGCCTCTGCTGAGTAATCTCAGCTCCAACACTCACTCCTACTTCATTACCTCCTCTCTGACACCGGGCTATAGCTGAGACTACAGCCTGAATGCAATCAAATGCCGAGCGCACCTATGCACGCTGTCAAACAGCAGTGTATGGTAAGCCTATATATTAAGACTCTAAGCCAGTAAAAGAAAAAACAAAGGCTTAAGAAAACCAACTTCAAGCTTAGAGGGTGTTGGAATTTTTTCAGAAATTACTTAATTCCCAAATTTAGGACAGCATATTGCTGCAAATGCAAATAAACTGCAGTACTAGAAAATGCAGCTCCCTTACCTGCTTTCAGCATGTAAGGAATCTATAACCAGCACAGCTCATCCATATTCACAACCAGACCCAGTGAACAGATAACACAGTGGACAGGATGACAGGAGGAAGGAGTAACTGGCCAAAATAAAAACAAGCCTAGAAGGCCCTTATGTCCAGAGAGATGGGCAGTGGGGCAAAGACGAGGCTCCACGGGCTCATTCCAACAGTAAAACGCGGGACCTTTAATACCTTCGCATGGCGCGGCAAGAAAGGATTTTAACTGAACTCTAACTTTCAAAGGCCACTGTCAAAAAAAAAAAAAAAAAAAAGAAAAGCAACTAACAAGAAGAAGAAAGAAGATAATTTAAATTATCTTCTTAGATAATTTAAAGCAGAAGAAATTTAAAGCATTCCTTATTATTTTATTCAAATGAATTAAGGGAATAACACAGAGGAGACAGGACAAGTTTCTGTAGCTAGCTCCAACTTTAATAATTTATGGTCCTATTCGTTCTTACTTAGAGCTACAGCCTTCAGCCAGTTACTGCTGGGAGCACCCCAGACTGCCTTCTCCCCAAGCAACTAACTTCAGACGTTGTCACCCAGCCTGAAAACACAGCCGGCACCAGACAGGAGCCACTGGCCCCCCAGCACGCTCGCAACCTATCGCTGTGCTGCCAGGAGAGTTGAGTTAGGCGCTGTCAACAAAATAAAAAACCCCCTAACCATGCTACCGTTATCGACAGGAGGGAAAAAAAAACCCAAAAGGAGCTTCGTTAACCGACTTTTTCAGCCTAACTGCATAAGCACGCCGCACTACGCCACGGCTAACACCTGACCGGTGAAGAGGCGGCAGCGGGCTAGGCAGCGGCAGGGCTGCC